ATTGTTGTGTGTTTAAAATTTCAAGTACAGAAAATGAACATCTACTGTCAGATCGCTCCCTTTAATTATCCTGTGTGTGTTGTCGCAATGACCTTTTCCAAATGAAACGCTTTGTTGTATGTTGTAGGAGAAACTTGATCGTACTGGGTAACTTTTTTCATCCCAGCACTATCTTGTGTACATACAACACTAACCATCGACCTGCCCTGTGCATCGATCTCCACGTTACGTTAGGTGTTACCGATACTAACATGTATACATGATGCGTAAATAATGGATGACGATGGTATCTATGCAAAATGATACCCTATATGCACCAGATTTGATTGGGATTTGAGGTCATAGCCGGAATGTAGAAATGTGGAAGTATAACCATCTGTTCTACTTATTCAAAATCAACTGAATACTCGGTCGTTTCCAGTAAAAGCATTAGGAAGCATCAAACGAAAAAAAAACAAGGATCGGGGTGAAATACAAATCAAGTATTTTAAATAATCTACAATATTTTTTTCCTTTTTCACCTCTCACCAATATTCCGTATTCACATAAATCGACAATCAGTCAGTCCAGTAGGCAGTAGAAACGCGTCACACACAGACACACACACGGGAGGAATTCACTTGCAAACAAATGTTTTCCACTATTTTTGCTTTTTTTGTTAATTGATTGTACACACGTAGTAGTAGTAGTAGTAGTAGTAGTAGTAGTAATAGTAGTAGTAGTAGTAGTAGTAGTAGTAGTAGTAGTAGTTACTGTTGTTGTAGTAGTAGACCACTTTCATGAAGAAGACAGCGGCAATACGATTAGATTCGGAATGACGAACTATAGCTCCAAAACAATAAAACAAATAAAGCAGAACTGATGAGAAGAATTTATGCGTAATAACTAAATCATTCCTTCCGACATGAACTGATTTGACTGAATCGGATAAATCGAGTTATCGACCAAATGTGAACTACAATCGTGGACAATCAACTTGACCCTTGGAAAGAGTTAGACCTTTACGGAACTATTTAAAAGATTGTTATCAGTAAACACGCTTAGCTCAATCTGTGCTATAGCTCATTTTCCAGTTTCAGTTTGCCGAATGCATAGAAATTTCCGTTTGTTCCTCCTAATTTTTTTTCGGTCCTAACAATGAATGTTACAGTTCAAAAGAAGAACAGACAATCCATTTCTCATCAATAAAACAAAACACATCTGACTTGTTTTCAAATACGATAGAAATGCTTGTGATGATCGACAAAATGTATTCACTGGACAGCTATTACGTGCTTGTTGAGACTCGTCAGCAATGCGTACTCAGTGTGTGTCCCTGTCAGGACTCGAACCGCAAACTTTCGGGTTGGGACTTCAAACCCTTACGGTTAACAGTCATCACCTTGTGCGAATAGCTCAATCAATCTATAGTATCAAGCCTGGATTAGCCAATTCGAATGTTGGGAGGCACTGTCGAGAGCCTTGGGTGTTGATTTCACTCCATGGGAAATCGTTAATTCCCCACAAAGTAAATAAATACTTGATGCCTGTAACCCTTGAACAATCTAAGCTTGATTGTCACAAAATACAGTCTGTGGATTAAATTGAATTCTGGCAATCCCCTGTCCAGGTGCTACGAATACTCACTCTGGAATGCACTCACTTTGGTAGTAGAGTATAACACGCGAGAAACCACTGAAAGACAAGTACATTGTACTCATCAATTCCGGGACAAAGAAAGTTGGTTATGTTATTTTTGCCGGTCAGGGAGATCTGTATTTTCTTCACGAGTTTTCCTCACTGATATCAGCAGTTCGCAGTGACATTCAACTGCTTTTTGGTACCTACTTCGAACCTGATACGCAATGATTCAATCTATCACGACAAGACTGCACCTTGACGTGGTGTGATAGCTTGTGCACCTCTCTGACCAAACGAGCTATACAAGATGGCTTTTGTCAAACCGAAGATCTAATCAGGCCTGAAACATCGAAGGGTTAAGGTCAGACGAAGTTCAGTCTCCTGGTTCTCCACATTGAGGGGGNGGGGGGTTCGACTCCAATTAGTATTCCAGTCAGGATGCAATGATAGAGAAGTAATTGATCCAAGTAAATGCGTCTCCACTTCGCTTCACCCGCTGTCTTGCATCTAGGGTCTTGTCAGAACTAAAGGGTTTGGTTGAGGACCCCAGTAGTTCTTCTTCTTAGTGGCTGGACACTCTAGCAGTATCCTTTCCCCAAATCCCATATACATATTATGCATTGCGAGTTTGGCAGCGATCAGTGAATTTAGCTTCCCTGTGTTTCTCTATACAATGATGATGCTGAAGATGATGAGACCATTAAGATAGTCAGAATCATTTGGATACGACGTAATACGACATCCCGGCTTAATCAACTCCAAACTGGTTTCTAAACTAAAGGCTCAGTGAGTTCGTGTGTATGTGTTTGTATGTGTGTGTGTAAGGCGGGGGTATATAACGGCTTAGCAGACGAAATTAGTTAACACGATTACCGGGACGTGTGTGGATCATTTTCACTTAGCTTGATTATTCTCCTCGAAATACCAATATACAGAATGACCCCAAGCTTTTGAGGATTCATATGCATGTCTCACTCATGAAATATTAGTATTTAATCACAGAACATTAGAGTGGAATAGCTCAACTCTCTCGCAACCCATACTCTTTCAAACAGAATCTATCGCACAATTGATTGTCTAGGAAAATCTATCTCAACAGTTCTCATTTGTTTACTCAATCAAAAACAACTTTTGAACACATCGGAATGTAGGAAACTCACCCAAACAGTCGTAGAAATCATCCGTATCGATGAAGTTTGTGCAACGTGCGCAAGCTAACGATAACTTTGGGTTTGCACAGCATTCCAGCAGTTCGACACCAAATGCATTACACATTCTGGGAGAAGGTGGGAGATAGGGGAGAAACGATTGATCCTAATCCTGTGAGTTCAATTTTTCGGAGAATGTATCGATCGGATTCGTGTAAACTAGTATTGCACAAGACTGATTAACACTACCAAAGTAATACTATTTCCCTGACTAACGAAAATCTGGCTGTCTTTAAATAGTAATTTCAAAGCACTGTTAATATACTGTCAACTATACTGTAGTGTCATCCACTGTCTATAAAGAAACCAAATATCACGTCATTGCAAATTCCAAAATGGTACCGTATTCTATGATGAGCAAAGCTCGGTAACATGCTAATGTTTGGACATTTTGTGATCACTAATCTATCGGTTTTTTATGTGGGGACGACAATGTATGCAACCATATAATGAGAAGAGTTAGACAGTGTTCGGTTTTATCATCAACGCCGCTAGTCCACGGCCGCTCACTCGTTCTCGTTTCGTCGGGAAAGTTTGACGGATGAGTAATCCTGTCATATGC